ATAGAAAGATAGATAGATAGAAAAGTAGAAGATGACAGAAGATAGATAGAAAGATAGATAGATAGAAAAGTAGAAGATGACAGAAGATAGATAGATAAAAGTAGAAAGAAACCTTTAAAAAGTAAGATAAGATCTAGTCTGCCCATAATGGCAAAACAAGTTTAAATTGAACCATATTTTCAACTTCTATCTACCTATCTTTATCTATCTATCTACCTATCTATCTACATATCTATCTATCTATCTACCTATCTTTATCTATCTATCTACCTATCTATCTACATATCTATCTATCTATCTATCTACCTATCTTTATCTTTCTATCTACCTATCTTAATCTATCTATCTATCTATCTAACCATCTTTATCGATCTATCTTAACATCTTTATCTATCTATCTACCTATCTACTGCCTATCTACCTATCTACCTTTCTTTATATCTATCTCTCTAACCATATTTATCAATCTATCTATCTATCTTTCTATCTATCTATTTATAAATCTATCTAATAACTTTAATGTACAATTTTTTTGTATGTGATATAAATGTATATATTTGCCAATTTGTAAAAATATATTATACATAAGAAGTTATTTTATTCCTAAATAGTTTTGTTGTCTAAATCATAGATTTTATAGTTCGACAATGATTTCATTAAATTTATATTTGCATCTTGACAATTTAAAATACTTTTATGAATTAATTTATTTCTTAAATAGCTTTGTTGTCTAAATCATAGATTTTATAGTTCGACAATGATTTAATTAAATTGACAATTTAAAATACTTTTATGAATTAATGTGTATAATAAGATATTTTTTACGTTTAATTTATAAACTTATTTGGTTACTTTCACAAAAATTTTAAATGTATCTTTATATTTATCTAACTATAATCTCCATCTATCGATATTAATTTGTCTATCTTTATCTATCTATGTTTCCATCCTATTATCTAAATTTCTTTCCCTTTTTAAACTTTATAAAAATTATATTTTTATAATTTTTGAGGATGCATTTTTAAGATGATAGCTGACTGAATAAATGAGAACTGGTTTACTCTATGTGTATGGATATAATATACTATAGACCTCCGTTCTTTGAAAAATAGATAGTCTAGTCTTTGTTATGTATCCCTGTATCCTGGAATAGATGAATGAGCTAATATTCCTGTATCCCTGTATCCTGGTAAAGATGAATGAGCTAGTATCCTAGTATTCTGGTATAGATAAATGAGCTAGTATCCTAGTATCCTGGTATAGATGAATGAGCTAGTATCCTAGTATCCTGGTAAAGATGAATGAGCTAGTATCCTACTATCCTGGTATAGATGAATGAGCTAGTATCCTAGTATCCTGGTATAGATGAATGAGCTAGTATCCTACTATCCTAGTATAGATGAATGAGCTATTATCCTAGTATCCTGGTATAGATGAATGAGCTAGTATCCTTGTATCCTGGTATAGATGAATGAACTATTATCCTAGTATCCTGGTATAGTTGAATGAGCTAGTATCCCTGTATCCCAGTATCCTGGTATAGATAAATGAGCTAGTATCCCTGTATCCTGTATCCTGTATCCTTGTGTCCCTGTATCCTGGTATGGTTGAATGAGCTAGTATCCCTGTATCCTAGTATCCTGGTATGGATAAATGAGCTAGCTAGTAAGCCTGTATCCTAGTATTCTGGTACGGTATCAAGTATCAACCGGAGATAGGATTTAAATATCTACATGGGATAAACCCTCTCTTTCATCCCATCCTCTCATTCAATCCCCTCCTCATCCCCCCCAATTAGAAAAGAATTGATTATTTAAACATAGAAATTTAAATTTAAACTTTGTCATCGGGTTCACAGGTTTACAATTGACTAGATTTTTTTTAATATGTTTTTTTTTATTTTTATCTTTTCTACACAAGAATAATAAAAACTAATATCCGACTAGAAAACTTATTAAATTTTTTGGTTAGATTGGAGAATTGCAAAATAATTATTTTTTGGGGAAATTTTAATTTTTTTTCATGTTTGTGTTATTCTTATTTACCATTTATGTTCCCTGTGTTTGTATGCTATTGTTTTTTTTTCTAATTTGACTAAGCTTTTTGGATTTTAGTTTCAATTGTCTTTTGGATCAAAATATGCAAAATGGCAGGGGTGTTTCTACTCCGTACTTCTTTTTGTTTCTTGTGTAAAGTTGTGTAGTTTATAAACCATCCCTGGGTCAATATTGTGTTAATATGAGGTCCCAAACAGAATTGGGGCCAAATCGATTCAGCCGTTTTTGCGTTTATTGAATACAAACAAACGAACATTTATACAGACAATGTCCGTTTTGGGAAAAAAATATGTCAGGGGTTTTTCTGACACTGTAGTTTAGTTGTTTATCTTTAAAAATAAAGTTGTCATCTCTATTAGGGTGTTTGTATGTCAGATTATAACTCATAAACCCCAGGAACGATTTGCCTCAAATTTTAATTGGGGAACTCGAGAGACCGACGGGAATGTTCTTAGCATGGGTTTCCAGATTCTAAGTTTAGTGGGTCAACTTGTATAAGGAAAAATAGCTAAAATCGTAATTTAAGACCAAGCGCGAGTAAACGGCAGGAATAACTTTAAAAAACCTGGGCAGCGCTGGGTTTCCAAGCTAGTTATGCATAAAAGTCTTCAACCCACGCGCCCTTTAACTATTCAGATTTAAAGGTTTAAAGGTTTAAAATGATTATCCCGTAGATTAACTTCTTTCTTCATCTTTTCTTCATCAACGTTAACAAGAAGTAAAAAAAGGAATTAAAGGGAATGTTCTTGTAAAAGAACAACTATGCAGAATAACCAGAATTAAACAACTCTTCCTTTTTAGTTCATATTTCAAAAACGTGTAACCCTACCTTTGCTGNCCTTTAACGCTATTTGTCCCACATTTTATAGTTCTTTGGAAAGGTTAAGATGTAAGTAAACAGCTTGCAAAAGACATTTTGCGTATTATTTTGCGTATTATTTTGCACAGACGCCTTTAAATTGAATTTATAAATGTATAATATTGACAAATTTCTTGCAATTTTTGTTCCTGCACTTATTTTATTGGGTAACTAGATTTCGCAATTAATTTTCATATATTTACAAATATTTTGGGAAAACATCTTTAGATATAGAACTTGGAATTTAGAAGGATGAAACCTCTATTGATAAAACCAGTTAGATTTTATAGTTTTTATGTCTAAGAAATCAAATTAATAAAGCGTGAAATACAGACGAGAACCACATGCATAGGTCTGAGAGCAAGAATTTTTTAGTCCAAAAGAAAAATTTGCTTACTTTGATACCAAAAAGTCATTGGATACACACTGTAAAAAAAACTATAACCCAACATTTTGTACGCATAATATCAAACTTCCAAAGTTTAAAATTACGAATATCTTGTTCAAAATTGTGAACAGAATGTTAGTGAAATCTAACAAATGGTTTCGGTATGCTCGATATTACGAACAAAGTGTTAGGTGTCTTCTAAATAGTGAATATATCTTGATATATGTGCATTAGAGGCACTTATACCATAGTGCGTTGTAAAGGACGGTATTAAGGAGAAAAGGAAGGAAGGCTTATAGTACTGTCTGAGTGACAGGAAGATAGGGGGGGAGGGTTTGATGATTGAGAGGGGGGGAAGGGAAGGATGTTTACTCTATCTCTGTATCGTCTAGAGATCTTGACCAAATTTTATTAGTATTAGATTAGACAGTTTATTACAAAGGTAAATAATGGATTATCAAGATAAACTCCCTCAAGTAAATTGGTTCTGTAAAACTTAATTTTTAAATTAAGTGTATGTAGACTTAATTTCGACTGATCCTAAATTTACAAAGCGGCCTCGCCGACTCACAACGGTACCTTTTGAATACTCAGGAATGAACGCAATATATTGGATTTGCATGTTTTCAAGGAGGAAGTGGAAAAGTAGGGAGGAGGAATATATGATTGAAAGGGGAGGGGGAAATGGTAAAAGAGAGAGGGATATATATTGTTGAAAGGGGAGGGGGAAATGGTAAGTGGAAAGAGGGTATGTATAGTTACGAGGGGGAGGGGAAAATGGAATTGTAGAGAGAAGGGTTGTATAGTTGAGAGGGGGAGGGGAAGTGGAATAGTTGAAAGAGGGAGGGGGAAGTGGAATAGTAGGGAGGGGGCATATATTCCGCCCTCAGCTTTCCCCCAATGGCTTATCTTATATCTGATCTATGATCATGTGACTATACCGGGGTGGGAGGGTCTCAAGATATTATTGGCTGATAAGAGCCACTCCACCCTCGACAGTCCCGGCTCGTCACAGTTTCTGTACCGACACGGTCCATCGTCCGGAAGGTTCATGATGTACCGACACGACCGGAACTCAAGTCACGGAGTTTAAGTTGCTCCTAAATTCGAGCATTTCCAGGCGGACCGGTACAGAATAATTTACTGTACCTGGTGCCAGCTGGCTATCATCAACTGATGTACTGGACCGGATGGATATTACAGCGGTATATTCGTCCGCAGCTTCTATGTCATCAGTACAACATGTAGACTCTACTTTTCATATGTAATATATATTTTTCAATTTTCATTTCTTTGTGTTCAAGTGAAAATCATCCCGTCCAATGTACTTGTGAACAGTATACAGTGATTTAATTTTAGAGGATTATTTAGAGGAGAGTTTCAGTGAATTATATCAAAATAAAGTTAAATAGCAATAAATATGGATGGTAGCGTTGACGCACTGGGCCATAATCGATGGTACGGAATGGACCAAGGAATTGGTAGATTGGACCAAGGTTTAGGTCGAGTGGACCAAGGGTTGGGGAGAGTGGACCAAGGGCTTGATGAAAGCCAAAGAGCTTATTTTTCAGCTTATCCTAATTATCCTCCGATTAATCAAGGTGATGCTAAAATTATTGAACGTTTATAAAACAGTTTTACATGCCCCATACATGCTCAAATAATAAGGCTTCCAGGGTACCGCTGTGAATTGAACATGCAACTATGAAAATGGAAATGTCACTCGAAACTAAGTCAACACTCTGTAAAAATATTTGTTAAATTTTTTTTATGAATAATAATCTTTATGAGAAGGTATAACCGTTAAACTGTCTATTTCATTTTATAAAATTGTTTTAAAATTAAAATTAAAAAATAAATGTTTTTAAAAAATTAATTACTTTAAGTTAGAATTGTTTGTTTTCCGATCATACAAAACAAAATATAAAATCTCTGGCAAAAAAATGTCTGTTTTATCATTTCATGGAAAACATTTAATAGATAAAAATCCAAAATTATTGAAATTAAATCACGGTGCTTTGATGTGTGAGCTATTTGGGGGTTTGCACGTAAAATGTGCCTATATCTAATCCACGAAAGTGATCTAAATGCACTGTAATTGTAATATAGAACCAAAATATTAAAACTTTTTTCATTCCCATAAATTAAGTTTAAAAAACGAACGCGATTTAATTGTGATAAGCTGTACAATATTTAGTTTTATATCCAGTTCTAAAAATAAAAACAAAAGAAAAAGTCAATGTTAGCAGTATAATAAAACACATCTTACAAAATTGAAAATCTGTTATAATTATACGCTATAAAATAGTTTTGATTTTAATAATCCCAATAAAAGTCGAAATTGTTCTCAATCCCTATACCTTTACATTCATTTAAAAATAAGAATTAAAAATCTTCATATCAAATAACGTTAACGTTTTATAACGCGTGAAACCTTTGGAAACTTTAAAAAATGTCTAACAATGTTCCACATATTATAATAAACATAAATTTTGCAATTGCAAATAATTTCGACATCTTGTTGCAAAAATAAATCTTAAGTTGATATTATATGAATTTTTACATTTGATCAAAGAGACTGTTAGCGTAATTTTAAGTGACCCTCCATGCAATTCACAACGGTACCCACAAATCAATCACTCTAGTATGCTGAGTCCATTAGCGTCTGATCGAATCAGGTTTCAGTCATGTTGTCTTTTCTGAACCAATAGAAATAGTATTGAGGTAACATCTATCTTTCTATCTATCTCATTTTCCAATCAGAGTTTTGAATTCTTCAATCGGTGCTATCAATAAATGGAAATATTTACTTTTACTGAAAGTATGGTGTGTCAATATTTATCATTCCTAAAACCGGTTGTTTTCCATTGTCGAGTGTCGTTTCTCTATGAAAGTCACTGGCGATTTCTACATTTAGAATTGAACACTTTTCATTCTAGAAAACGACAATAAACAAACAATCAAATAAAGATTTTATAGAGGTACCGTTTTTAATCTGGTATTGCCATATTTTCATGGATGGCCAATTGAACTTATGATTACAGTTCCTTCAAGAAAAATTAATTAAAAAGCGATTTTTGGAAAATTTCAGAAATTTATATTTTTACGTAAAACTGCAGTGAATTAAGATAAAAATCTTGAATGTTTTCAATCTTAACTAGTTCAATTTAAGAATTATTGAGAAGGACAAATATGTTTTAAATTTCTAAACTTACAACTCTCATGTTTATGCCTAAAATCAAAACTAGAGGAGCTACGAGGTCACAAAGTTTAACTTTAACTTTCTTGACTTAAAATATGATTTTTCCAGGTCGGCCGGTGGATCCCCATGGATTGAGTTACTATTCAATGTGGAGTAATGCATTTAGCCAGACTCAAACTAGTAAAACCTTCTACCCTCCTCCTCCTCCTCCTAGTTCAACTCTACCTCCTCCTCTAACATCAGCTCATCATCCTCATCCTTCCTCAGGTTCTTCTAGTCCTCAAAGGTAAAATGTTTAAGTTTTTTTGCCATATTAAAATACGAAATTAAATTTTTGATGTAGACCTTTTTTCTTCCTAACGTTTTTCCTTTTTTTCCAACTTTTATCTATCTATCTATCTATCTATCTATCTATCGAATAGTTTAAAAATTTTTTATTGTTTTCTTGGCTGTTTTGGAGTTTGAATAGTTTTTTATAAAAAATGGATTAGAAAAATACAGTTGAAAAATGTTCGAAATTGATGATTACAAACGGTTGTTTTTCACTGTTTACTTTATTCATGAGTTTTGTTAAATATATTTTTTATATGACCAATTGACGTTTAACTTTTAAATCTTGAATTTAAACAATTGACATCGGACATTTGGCCAACATCTTATATACCAAATACATACAAATATATACCAATTCATTTTTAATTCATGTTGATACATTTTCATTTATTTTCCAGGGAAACCCAACCTTTGTCTGAAGAATCAAGACTCCAGCTTCCATCCTTGACACCTGTAAACCGATCAGCCGATCAGCCGGCTGATTTCCGGTCAAATAGTCCTGACCGGAAAGTGTTTGAGAGCGTCTACCAGGAAACACATCCGGTCAAAACAGAACTGTTTTCCTCATCTCAGGAAAATATTTTACAATTTTTAAAAAATAGAAATAAAATAAAAAATCGAATGAATAAAAATTTCCATTTATAAAAAAAAATGAATTTGTTTAGCCTAGATGTTACCCTCACGGTACCCATGGGTTACCTCAGCCAATTTGCTTCAACCGTACGCGTCGCGTTTGGCCAGATATATATATGAGCGTAGAACTTTTTTACATAGATTTATATTAATAGATATTCAATTTTTGTTATCATTTTAAATATATTTTCCAGTCAATATCACCGTTTGAAGAAACGGAGAATAACTCTACGGAAAGACGAACTGACGGAGCCTCCTTTCCCTCCCCCTCACACACCCCCTCGGCCTACCCTTACTACACCCCTGATATTGCATCCCCCCTGTATGGTGGATATTCTACTGCGGGGCCCCTGTCTCCTAAATCAAAATCTAGAGGGGGAAATGGTAATGGTAAATACATTTTTTATACAAATAATTTTGTTTATGAAAATGATTAATATTGTTAACATTCAAAACTAGTTTGATTGAAATCTCATGTGTTTTCAATCATAAAACCTTTTTATTGAAGAGTTATAGAGAAAACAAAGATGTTTTGAAAAACCAATATCTTATAATTGTTTCCCCTTTGTATTACCGTTCTTGAAGAGTTTAAACTATCTTATTGATCAATGATTTTAAACATTATCATTATGCATTATCATAAATATTTTCTTAACACTTATTATTATTTTTCTTAATCATCATCATATTATATTTTTGCTTCATCATCATCATCATTATTTACACAGATTTTAGCCAGAAAATTAAACTGCCTTTCTCTTTCTTTTACTGACTTTAGCCGATGGAGTTATCATCATCATCATCATCATCATCATCATCATCATCATCATCATCATCATCATCATCATCATTATCATCATCATCATCATCATCATCATCATCATCATAGGGGTGGGGGAAGGGGGGACTAAAGAAAGAAAGGGGAGGTGTGATTTTTTCGTTTAAAAATACGTCATGGGTTTCATTGCAATTTTACGCCTAGTTTAGAGATAGATGGATAATTAGATAGAAACTTGAAGAGCTTGCATGTTACCTAATAATTTATCCAGGGTCGGTCGTACACACTGACGATTTAATTGCGTTCAATTTTCATTCCAAAAATAATGTTAAAATTTGCATGCACTCATGTCCAATATTTGCAAGCACTCATGTCCGATATTTGGCAAAATTCTCCGAAATTCGGAGGCATTACATTGTTATTGCATAGTGTGACGATATCAGTTTCTTATAGATACAAAATAAACAGGAGTAGAACAGGAGTAGAACAGGGGTAGAACAGGAGTAGAACAAATGAACTTATTACTTTTTACATTTTTCAGAAGGTAGAGAGTGTGTGAACTGTGGTGCAACATCTACTCCGTTATGGAGACGGGATGGAAATGGTCACTATCTCTGCAATGCCTGCGGTCTTTATTACAAAATGAATGGACAGAACAGACCTCTTGTGAAACCAAAGAAGAGATTGGTAAGTATTATTCCGTTGCTGATAATCAAAAAAAAAAGTTTAAAAATTCAATGGTTATTTTCTGACGATTTGTTTTATATCAAAGCATTCTTTTTTTGATTAGTTAATTGCTCTATACATTTAAATTTTTCTATTATTTCTCTCTAAAAGTATTTTTCCATCTTTTTATACTTTTTTTGCTTACTTTTATTTTTCTTTTTACTTTCTATACTATTAACTTTAGTTCATACCTCTACAATCTAAATCATCTTTATGTACGTTTCTTTTTATTTCTATTTTTATAATTTTATTATTTATCTAATAATCTATCAATCCATCTGTCTATTTATCCATCAATTTATCCATCTATCCATATATATATCTATCTATCTATTTATATATCTGTCTGTCTATCTATATATCTACAGTCTACTTATCTATCTGGCCATCTCTTCTCTCTCTCCTAATGAATTTTCCTACTAGAGTAAACAAGTTTAAGATAAAATCGTTGAAAAAACAAACTCAAAATTCAAAATTGTAAATTCTGCCGAAACTTGGGAAACATTGTTTTAAACAAATGCCAAACAAATAAATCAATCTGAATAAATTTGCAAGTTTTTTTCTAACTCGTAAGTTCTTTAAAGATTAAGTAGGGTGTTGAATGTTTACGAACACGATTTAAGAATGATAAAAGTTACGAAATATTCAAATATAAATCAGAGCTATTGTTTTGCTTGTTAGTGGCTTCATGTTACATTTTTAAATTCTTGTTGCAGAGTTTATGAGTGTACATAAACTGCATTAAAGGTATGGAATTGTACTGTGTACACTAGAGAGTGGCACACAGCTGTAATTTCGTAGATTTTCCGTCCCGCCAGCTCAACTTAAAAATCCGGGAGTCAACACAGCGGCAAGATGGCGGCAGTTTGGAGACAATTTAACAAAGGCTCTGTTTCGCGTTGGCGTTTTTTTTATTTTAATTATTCATTGTATAATAAGGAATAATTGGTTTTCCTCAAAATAATACTCCAAAGTTGCATGAAGTTAGGATATAATAAAGAATAAAACCCCACATCAATTTTCGTCGATAAATTGGGTGATAGTATACTACTGTACAAAAGTGTGAATAACATGAACAGAAACAAATTTAGTAAAGAATAGACCTTAGCCCCAATTTTTTCTAGTTGTTTAATGATAAAATATATGTGTCTAAAATATTGATAAAGCTAATAAACATACATTTCTCAATAAACCCCCCTTTTTTAGTTCTATATGCTGATACATTTGAATAAATAGCTGATTAAGCTTCTTTTATATAGTCTTATAATATATTGATAAATATGAATAAACAGCTGATTAAGCTCAAAAATATACTTGTCTGATTAAGCCCCCTTTTATATAGTTGTATATGCTGATAAATATGAATAAACAGCTGATTAAGTTGAAAAATATACTTGTCTGATTAAGCCCCCTTTTATAAACTTGTAATGCGCTGATAAATCTAAATAAATGGTCCTGCCCCACCTGGGCTTTATAGCCATTAATAAACGGACTTAAAGGCAGTTCCAAGGCATTATTGGGCAAACATCAAGAGCAGGAGAAAGTAATAAAGAAGGAATGATAGGCATTAGAGGATAGGAATAATGAACTAAAGGGAGTGTATGTGTAAAGGGAGTGTATGTGTAAATTCAAGTGACCCTCCATGCAAACCCTAACTCACGAAGTTACCATTAAAAGCTTTGTCTGAAAGGGGGAGCTAGGGGGTTAAATGAAAGGAGATAGAATAGGAGGGAAGTAAGGGATAAAATAAGAGGGAAGTAGGGGATAAAATAAGATGGAAGTAAGGGATGAAATAGGAGGGAAGTAGGGGATAAAATAAGAGGGAAGTAGGGGATAAAATAAGAGGGAAGTAAGGGATGAATTAGGAGGGAAGTAAGGGATACAATAAGAGGGAAGTAAGGGATGAAATAGGAGGGAAGTATGGGATAAAATAGGTGGGAAGTAGGGGATAAAATAGAAGGGAAGTAAGGAATAAAATAGGAGGGAAGTAGGGGATGAAATGAGAGGGAAGTAGGGGATAAAATAGAAGGGAAGTAAGGAATAAAATAGGAGGGAAGTAGGAGATGAACTGAGAGGGAAGTAGGGGATGAAATAGGAGGGAAGTAGGGAATGAAAAGAGAGGGAAGTAGGGGATGAAATAGGAGGGAAGTAAGGAATAAAATAGGAGGGAAGTAGGGGATAAAATAGAAGGGAAGTAAGGAATAAAATAGGAGGGAAGTAGGGATGAAATGAGAGGGAAGTAGGGGATGAAGTAGGAGGGAAGTAGGGAATGAAAAGAGAGGGAAGTAGGGGATGAAATAGGAGGGAAAAGGGAGGGGAATAAAATAGCAGGGAAAGGGGGGAGGGTATTAAATAGAAGGAAAAAGGGGGAGTAAAATAGTAGGGAAAGGGGGGGGGATAAAATAGGATGATCAAGAAGGGGTAAAATAGGAGGGAAAAGGGGGGTTAATAGGGGGAAAAGGGTGGGTGGAATTTCTGCGGTTAGAACAATTATAGGAATTTATCTTGAGGTAAGATATCATTACATACTTCATTCAAGGGGATAACACATAAACAAAATTTGTAAACTGCACACACACACACACTACTGACAAACAACAAACATGGCATTTCAAAACATGAATTCTTCATATATCTGATTTAAGGGGAAATGACGGAAAATAAAATAAAAAAACGAGTAAACAATTCAAATCACAGCTTTTTTAAAAGTTTTGGCTCAGTGCTAAGTTTATAGTGACGATAACCTCCCCCCTCCCCCTCCCCCAACACTGCAACAGATGCAATACTCTACATGCAACTTCTTTTATTGTCGGTTCGGAAAAATTGTATTTAAGTCCCTTTGGCCATTTTGAATGTTGTCCACTATATTGGATTGAGCAGCTGTATATAGTGTCAGAGAATAGAATGCTTTAGAAATCTGATCTTATATCTTCTATAAACATTTATTTTATTACGATAGATTTTATTACATCTCTGCAACATTCCTCGCCTTGGTAAATGGATGTCCACCTCCCCCTCCCCGGCCCCCCTGGGGCAAATAAGATTTGGAACCCACCCTAGTGAGAGAGCAATTGGCTCATGCTCTGCCCTCGGCTAATCGCCGTAGGTAAAACTAGACACGAAGATTCATCGATATTTGCCCCATACAAGCAAATATGTAATTATAACAATAATTATATCTTCTAGGAATGACCAAGAGAGATAAAGAAATGTTCATTACAAAAAATAACATCATTAAACAGAATTAGAAAAATAAAACATTTTTCAAGTTGCCGACTAAAAATAAAGATTTACTTTTATGATTAATATCAATATCTATGTAAACATATTTCAAACTCCATAACTGTGATCAGGTTCAATAAATAACGAGACGTAGTTGAGCTGTGCATACTTTGTAAAACAACTTTTCTGCAACTTAAAGGGACTGTTAAGGTAGAATAAAATGGGGTGTAATCGTCCACACATGATATGAGGTTTAACAAAGCAAACGAAGTTCAATTTCTTCTCTCTATTGATTACTCCTGTTTGTTAAATTGTTAAAATTGATTAAACCAAAGATCGTGTTGAAAACTGGAAAAGATCAATTAATCCGCAGATCGTATTTATTAAATGATAAAGATCATTTAAGAATTAGATCGTGTTTGATAAACGGCAATGATCGGTAAATCCAAGAATTGTGTTTGATAAACGGCAATGATCGGTAAATCCAATGATCCTGTTTGATTAACGGCAATGATCGGTTAATCCAAGAATTGTGTTTGATAAACGGCAATGATCGGTAAATCCAATGATCCTGTTTGATTAACTGCTATGTTCGGAACATCCAAGGAAAGTGTTTAGTATAAAGTAAATTTTGGTAATTCCAAAGATCTTGTGTAATAAGTAAAAAAGATCGGTACATTCAAAGATCGTGTTTGATAAATTGTGAAGATCGATAAATTCAAAGATCGTCCTTGATGAACGGTAATGATCAGTAAACCAAAGATCGTGTTTGACATGTGATTTAAATAATCTGAAGAAAAATAGTTTAGAAGAACTGGGGAGTTCCATCAAAACATTTTCCTATCGTGAGAATACAGATCACACATTAAGATCATTCCCTACTTTAAACCATTAACCTACTTGAAGAGACTAACGACGTAATTTAAGGTGACCCTATTTTTTAAAGTTACACGCCCAATTCACAAAGGTACCATTGCAGTCACGAAAAACTGAGATAGTTTTTTTCCTAGCCTAAAATAGATTGGTATCTCTGTAAAATTGAGTTATGGATTTATACTGCAGAGACATTTCAGGAAATGTAATAATCCAGCACTTTTCAAGATAGTAAAACAGTGAAATTTTCCTTATTGTTTTCAGATTTTAAACAGAATTTAATAGAAGATTTTTATCAGCAGAACAAATGTTTTAATTCTAACACATGCTATGTTCGCAAAAGAATTGAAGAAAGCAAAGACGACTTTACAAAGAAAAGAATAAAAAGAGAAAAAAGAGAAAAATATATAAAATTCGGTGATGGTGATGGACCAAACCTCTGTAGAGTAAAAAAGTAGAAGTTAGTTCCACATTTATTGAAAATATATTTCGGTCTGGGTTGACCCTCGTCAGTTCTTGAGATTGTTTCTTCACAAAGTTTAAAAACAATCAAACATAAAGGACGTCAAAAATCAGCGCGAAATAAAAAGATGCTTAAAAATGCCCGTTTTTCATAGAACCTTTATCTCTTTCACACTCCATAACCTTTTTTTACTTTTTTTTAACATTACAAATAAATCTTTAATTTTTATTTCTGAAAGTTGTTAGTCGAAAAATAATAACAATCCACCACCAATTTATATGAAATATAGTGTAAACAATAAATATGTAAATTTCCTTATCCTTTCCTTTCCTTTTCCTTTTATTTCTATTTTTAAACTTTTTTAAAATTGGGGGAAAATATTCCCACAACCTCTACTTTTAGA